TTAAGTTGGAAGCTAATAAAATAACTCAAATTCCATAAGTATATTGTTAGAAGTAAAAACTCTAAAACTCGTTGTCTTCTTGTCTATTTTTTTTTATTCTCTCTTTTATTATGCAAGTTATTACAGCGGGGACTGGCTCTGATCTCTCTAGGAAAGTGTGGGTCACCGCTTCTAAAGGTGACACTTACTGAGCTGTCAATCTTTAACCTTCGTCAAGTTTTTACACTTAAGTAGCGAATCACGTTGGGCTACGCAGAACGAAGTTCGCATACTAAGTAGATGCCTTCGCGATGTTTACGCTTTATGAAATGTCTTCCTAACGTAGATCTCTTGGTCTTACGGTCAAGTTCGGGTAAAAGAAAAACAAGATTGACAATATAAGAACTATAATAAACTTAGTAACACTGAATGAAAATCATACTTGTAAAGATATCTTAAAAGAAAATAGTCCTTGAAGGCTGTTGCATAACAGCAGAATAAATACAAAATTCGGAGAAGAAAGGGCGTACCCAAGGTACCGCCCCTAAAAGAGCTACGTGCTATTCGTATAAGTAACCTAATTACAAATTCGGTGCGGAAGATGAAAAGTACTACATGGTTACACTTTAAGCCACCTCTAAGAAAAAGAGGTGTCAAACGTGCTAAATTAAAAACTGAAAACTATTTTCCTGATCGGGATTTCGACATGGTTTTAGCGTAAAAACGAGAGTATTAAATGGATAAAAGTATAAAGGAGGGTTACTTCCAGGAAATTCCTGTACGGGATCAATTTTTATAGGGTAAGGTCATTTTCTAAGTAATTGATTATATTTTTAGCAACATAATGATAATATACCGATATCTAGCCGCAAACTACAGTTTACGCAAAAACATCTGTCTCCATGTCAAATTCACGATCATATCAAGGAAAAGGTAACCAAACTCTAGCTGCAAGATAAGACCACCAAAAGGAATAAGAAATGATCAACTGGCTTATTATAATGTCTACTGAAAGGCTTATGCAAATATGTTATTTCCATTCATTTTCCGACACCAATATATGAAACCCTTACAATGTTTTTAAATTAGTTATATTAAATTTTTATCGTTTAACAATATGTCATCTTATGGTTACCTTCCGGGCCGGCCGGCCGGCACGCACATTAACTAGCTTAGTATAATAGCAAGAAAAACCGGGAAAACTAAAAACAAGGAACAACTCTTACGTTTAACTTTCGGGATAACAAGTTTAACCTATGAGGAATTCACTGCATGGGGTTTGCTACATGTAGTGACAGTCAGACAAAACTCAAATAGCGATAGTTAATTCTACAACTAAACATGCAAGCAGTCATGTCCCCATAATTCAATTTCACTATCAATACAAAGTTTACATGCTCTCGAAAGTAATCTGCGTATGTATAATTGGTTTAAAAAAACTCGAGCCATTTTCTCATCCAATAAGAAGCAAGACCAAAACGCTAGTTACGCAGGGTAATTTTTCTGCGTTTGGCGCCGTTTGCATGTAATTACTTCAAATTGAGATGGGTCCACTAGGCTGCTCTCGCTCATGATTTTACGACACTCAATTTAAAACTGTTGTAGGGCAACTGAGGCACAAGTACTAAAAACGTCCGTTTTACCCCATCGATTTCAATGTTTTAGCGTCAAGTAAAGCGTTTATGGCGAGGGTCTTCGTTTTGTAGTCTAAGGCGAGTAAAACTACAAAACGAAGACGATACCGATTTCAATGTTTTAGCGTCAAATAAAGCGTTTCAGCGGGGGTCTTTGTTTTGTAGTTTGAGGCAGGCAGAACTAAAAAACGAAGACCACATCGATTTCATTGTTTTAGCGTAAAATAAAACGTTTTAGCGAGGGTCTTCGTTTCGTAATTTGAGGCGGGCAAATCTACAAAACGAAGACCCCATTGATTTCATTGTTTCGGCGATTCCGCACATTTCATTAAATTGATTTCCAAGTCTTTGGTCTTCGTTTTGGAGACACCCTGTATTTAATGATGTTTTTGATTGAGCAGAAGGATTATGATGTTAGTTACTTTCATATGAACTGGCAGGCGTATAGATGGGGCTCCAGCAGTTATTCCTCCGTCATCCTCACTGAGACCGAATTCTCCATGCGTCCCATCTTTTGTCAGTTATTATCGGTTATTGCATAATATCGTAATTTTTTGGCATTTCGCAGATCAACCAGTATGTACTCCCACTTTCAGCTTTGACAAACAGTTGATCTTCTCGCCACTAACAGATATCACGATATTTTGCACAACCCTGTTCAGTTATTTGTTAATCATTTATCTCATCCGCATTTCAGAGATGAGATAGAAGGTAATTTCACGTAACTTTAGACCTTGGTCAAAAATAAATACGTGGCAATTTAAAATATTGCTATGCAGTTTTTATAAACGTAAGCAAGAATCAAAAAAGTTCTTTCATATCTGGCTTTACCTTTGACCCGCGTCACACAATTTCCACGTTTCAAATCGCCCATGGCTAGCATAAAATACAGAGTCAAAAGCGTAGAATATTTGATATCGTTCAAGATGCTCACTAAAAAATGGTATCAAATCTGAACAACATATTTCACCTTACCTTTGACAAGGATCAAATATGCAGGAGATCTAAATTTTCCGCAACCTCGTACCAAGGGTCAGGAAAAAGAACGATCCTGTGAACGAGGTTGATGGTTCCGACCGCGCACATGTAATATTAATAACTGGAAATCGAGGACATTGGGCCAGAAATAAAATCTTGGGAGTGTAAACACCTTTTGAATAATCAAAGCACAATTTCGCAAGTAGTTACCCTCAAATGAAGCGATATTTAGTAGAGGTTGTAAGGTGCTCTCAACAAACGCCCAACATATCTTTTCCTTTGTCTATCCCGGATACTGAAAAAAAAGCAAAAAAATAATCAGATGAAATAAAGATTGGGGAACATAATCAAAACAAAAATTTGTGGAGAACAAGGTTAGGCTGGACAATAACAACGTTGACCAGAACTGACCTTCAACCTTGGCCTGCTTGATTACAGACCTTTTTCCCTTACTAAATAGATTTTGTTTCGTTTGGTTGAAATTAATTATCTCATTTCGTATACATGCTGTACAATGGAAGGGAGCTTTACTCTACAGAAAAGGAGGATTCTCGCGTATTTTTTAAACCAACCTTCATTTTAAAGCAACTCATGAATTTAACCTTGATTTCAAGTCAACCTTGAAATCAACGTTGATTTCAAACACGGTTCTTGCGCATTTTGGAGACAACATTGATTTCAAGGCAACTTAAATTATTCACAGGTGTATAATACCTCACATCCTCTTCACAGCTCACGAGTGAGTTCTGAAGAGGGTGTGAATACTATAATCTCAAATGATCCTCTACAACGATTTTCCTGAACTATTCTCTTGAATGATCCTCTTGTCACGTCATCGGGGTGTTGATGGTTTGTGAAACGATTTTTCAAATATCATCGTTGTATCTTCTCCCAAAAAAGTCATAATGTACCTTGATTTATTCTTCTGTCAAGACAGTGTCTTTGTAACTGATAAGAGTATAACAGCCTGAGAGCAGTCCTTCATGAAAACGATTTCGAGCTATATTTGTGTAATATCCCCATACGAATTCTGCATCTGTTGCAGGAGTTGCGGAAAAGTTAATAAGTTTTTCACCGTTGAACAAGAAAGAAGAAGTATTGACGCTTGAATCGTTGTCAATTTCTTTCAACCAAATACAACTGATAATTTTCCATCTCCCAGGAACTGTCGGGTTTTTTTTTTTGGATTAATGTCTACTGTTTTATAACCATACCTTCTTTTTCCTTCAACATTGTAATGATAAATTCAAAACTCTTTTCTTTTTTGTTTTGCCTTGCTTTGCTTTGCTTTGCATTTGCTCCGCCAATCGTTAACTTATCTTATTTTATTGTCACAGAAATTTACAAGATTCCATTTCCAATCAAAGAGTATCTCACTTTGACTAAGACTAAGACCTAAGACTGCTCCATGATCTTGAAACAGGAAGTTTGCGTCACGCTTTATGGCTTCACCGAAGAAAACCAGTGAAAAGATTGACAACCTCTCTGTTTGCAGCGTGCGGCAGCCCAATCATACATCATTAATGAATGAGTTGCCAGTAATCGGATCCTTGCGCAAAGATTTCTGGGATCGCCACGGGGCAAACATCGCAACTCGCCAGAAGGATATGTATGACGAAAGGTTGTTTCGACGACCAAAAAAACGATTTTGGAGAGAGATCAACGCTTCTTCGCCGAAGTTTTATCACAAATGATTGATGTTGATGCGAGGGAAGTGCAATTTTTTTATAAGAATTACCACAAAATATGTCATAAAATATATCGATAAACTTCTCTCCTTACGCCATACATATCCTTCTAGCAAGTCACAATGTGTGCCCCGTGGCGATCCCGATTAATGACAACTCATTTATTAGACAAAAGATAATTTGCCGAGAATAGGCCACTTCTCGCGTTTCAATAGGCTGATGTCGAAATTACAGCGCGAAGAGGAGGTTACATGCAAAGTCGTTCTCATCGGTTTGAAGAATAAAGTGCCTTGGTGGTGAAAATGAGAGAAAAGTTCTCGGAATTCAGTGTGGGAGAGTGAACATTTTTTACCTGGGAGAGAGGCGTCAACTAAGTGATGGCGGCAAAGGAAAGAAAAAAGTAGTTAATTTAAGTGTGAGAAGATAAAACTATAGTGTTGCAGAGTTCTCTTTCCAGATTCAGATGAGCATTCGTCAGTAAACTACTTAAACTACCTGTGCGTGCCAGCCGATGACTAAGATCTCAGTTAATGGATATGCTATATCCTTGCAGTTGGCACACAATATCAACTGCGACCGTTGTGAAAGTGAAATTTTTCTCATTGATTAAGGTTTTTACAAGCGAAGAATTCACCCGTAAAGACCTCGATGTTGATGACACGGAGAGTGCTTGAAAACCTAGTAAACAAAAGGATAAACCGTTGAAAAGGGAAAATAAGATTCATTTGAACATACTTCCTTCTGCCTTGACTTGCTGGATATTTGCTTTCTCTTGTTTTAGGCTTTCACCAAGCTCATTAGTTGCAGTAATGGCAAACTGATACACCTTTCCTTTCTCCAACGCTATTTTCAATTCTCTCACAGAAACATCTCTGATTCTCCTTACTTCTATCCACTGTCCCACTTTCCCATCAGTCACTACTCTTTGGTACACTGTGTACGTGGTTATAACTTTTCCATTACTTTCTGGCTCCTTCCACTTTAGGGTAATTGTATCGTTTGTTGTTTCGCCTGGCAGTTCGTCTATTTCGACTACATCAGGGGCTCCTACATTGGTGTCAACAACATGAATACCATGAAATTTTTAATAATTATTCAACTTCTTGTCAAAAACCTGGTCACAACCATTATCAGTGACTAAATAATCTGTAAATTGGTCGAGGATTTTTTGGGGAAATTTTTTAAACGAAAGTGTATAGCAAGCAAAATTAAGTTAAGCCTATTGAGATGAATTCAAAATTCTTTGAAAGGGCAAAAAGTGATGATGAGAAGCCTGAAATAATGGTCGGTTGTAGCCTTAAGCAAATACTACATTTACAAGGTGAAGAGGAATGATACATTGACCTCTACTGGCATTTAATTGCTATCTACATATGATCAAATGAAGGACCGATGCATAGATGTGTCACAGTGCGCCATTCATTTGTGTCACGTAATTACGGAAAGGAACTAACTTTGTGTGCAACTATTTTCTGCTTTTCAAAGTTTGACATGACACATGACTTGGGAAAGGCACTCGGCAATGACACAGTGGAAAAATGAGTGCACATGCTCCACTTCTCGAACCATTTGAGCGTATAGGGCTACGATTCTTCTTCTGCAAACATAAACTGATGCAGATTTTTCCGCCAAGAAAACAAGCCTTTTTTCTCCAAGGGGTTTGCCAACTGAGGAGGTGAAGACAAGAAGTGCTAAAGTGATAACAGGTGCGACGAACTTCGTAGCCATGTTACGGCTGCTGAACTCACACCTGTTACCACAATACTTTCTTTGTCGAATGAGATATGTGGCTGATGAGGTTTCGAGAGAAACTTTCCTAAAAACGAAATCCTTAAATTTTTTTGGTTAGGGCTCATTTCCCTGTGAAATGAAAACAAGCTATGGGAATTTTTAAAAAATGCCTCTATGCTGCCTCGATAGACAATATATACTGAGGAGTATAATTTTATTGACGATATTACCGAATGGAAATGGCTCTAAAACTGCTCATTTGTAAGTCTGTGACATAATTTTGAAGCAAAATCGTTACACACAAACCTACTGCCTATACAAACCTACTATAATTCTTGTGTTAACTGTGTTAACACAAGAATTATTACATGTGTTAAAAAATTGGAAGTTTTTACGCTAAGTGTGCTGACGTACGCACCAAATGTCATTAAATTAAGTAGCAAATCCCGATAGCTATGGGACCTATGGAGGTTTGATTCTTTTTAAGAGCTTTGAGTATAGCTGGTAGGTATTTAAGAAAACAATATCCATCCACCTTAATCATAAGAAAGAGATTAAATTTCGTGATTTCGCTTTTTAAATACCTATCTCAAACTTTCTTCGTCGGTCGTAATTTTTCCAATTTTATCAGGTTACAGCTTATAACTTGACTTCTTTCTCTCGCACTCTGTTTTTTTTGTGCTCGTACTTTCTTCATCTTCAAGAAAACATACGGAGGATTCTTCAAGGCCATCCACAAACTGTTTCACAAGCTTTCCCCATAATATTGGTATATTAAAAGCGATTTTCGTGAAAGGCCCATTATATCAAACTTCAATTCTTTGGTCAAACGATTTGCGAAAATCGCCTCACTGTCAAAAGGGACAGTTGGTTTAAGAAAATATATGAAATTTTTAAAAACTTGTTTCGAGAGTTCTTCTGTCATCTTCAGTTCTGATTTATAAAAAGTACAAAGTTGACTTTAAGGTTTATAACAAAATGCTGATGGGACAAAACAAACGATACAAACGGAACAATGAATGCAATTACAAGGAAAGTTAATTTACATGATAAAGATGATGATTAAGTGTAGCTTGCCCTCCCTGAATTTGAATTACTTATTTGATTTTAAGTTGGAGAGTTGTGGAAGCGTGATCTAAGATGCTAAAACACTCATCAGAATATAGAGTACGACATTGTTAAGAATTTGGTAAATGTCTGAAAATGTGAGGGGTTCTATCACAGACCAAGTGCTCACGCACACGTGTGGATAAATGCCGAGAGGTTTAGCCAACATAACAGGCATTACAACTTGAAAACCACACACGTACGGAGCCCACGAGGGATAGGGTCTTCCACAACAAACATATTACTTATTTTAAAAAATTAAAAAGCCAACTTCATATCTATGTTATCACAATAACGCTCAGCAAAGTGGCGAACCCTTTTTTGCGTGACAACAGAAAAAGGGCCAGTGTAAGGTAATTTGAAATAAAAAATCGGCGTAGTGTCTGAAACGGAAACCGTTGAGTTTTTTTTTCATCTCACCTACTTTCACCTGTGGTTTATTTATTATTATGCTTCTTCAAACGTGGGTACCTCTCAAATAACCATTAGAAAGGAAAAGAAACTGGCCACTAAGAAAGGGACAACACCTATAACGCGGCGAGCAGATAATGTTGTGAAAACTGGGAAAAATCTAAGTTGGTAAAAAAAATAATTGGTGTGAAGTGCTCAGTCACGACATCAATTGTGATTCCTCACCTTCAAATCTAGTCCTAATTCTCCTTACGGTGGGATCTCCCACGAAAACAAAATTTCTGTAAAACAATTTCACCGTGTAGTTGGTATTTTTCTCCAAACCACGAAACGAATGAGTTGTCGTCCCAGGATCGGTGATATTATCCTTTTCTATCTCAGTTTCACCCTTTTGTAAGATTAGCCGGTATCCTGTAATTGGACTTCCTCCAACTAGCTGCCGGATAAATTAGCCAAGGGCCCATAGGAAAAGGAAAAATTTAGAGTCCATGCTTGAGGAAGTTTCCTATGGATACTCGCATGGGAGGATGTCGTCAATCTACCTGATGTTCAACGCTCTTTTGTAACGTGTTTATTTAATGCTACCAAAGGGCAAGGCGTTGATAGCTTTTACTTCTAATACACCAGAAATAGTGGTAATGAGTAAAGGCAAAATAAAATGCTGACCTTATATGTAGTTTTTCTTTTATCAAAATACACTTATCTTTTTTATTTACTTATCTGATTTATCTTTATCAATTTCTCGTCAGATGGAATAAGTCCATTGGCAGCAATGCACTTGTAATGACCAAAATCTTGATCACCCCTGAGTGGCACTTGTACTTTGTTTTCTCTGGCTCTGACTCTGTTTATTTCACTTCCTTTAGGTTTGTACCAAGAGAGTGTTGGTGTAGGAAGACCATCAGAAAGACACTTCAAAGTCACTGTCTGGCCAATCCAAGACTTCTTAGATGACGTGGTGATATTTTGAATTGTGGGTGGGTCTAAGAATAAATGAAAATGCAATAAGCAATTGAACACGTAATTGGTGATACTTCATACAAATCAAAACATTAACGAGCTTTATCATTCCACTACTGTGTCATTGACAACAAAATATGCCACAGTATTACACTTTACAACAAGGAAAAAATACGTAGCAACAGATTGGTCTTTGATTTTTTTTGTTTTAGTTTTTAAAATTTGACTTTTAAAGAAGCGAACTTTTGAGCCGGAAAAAACACAAAGAACACTTTAATGGTTTAGTCCTAGTTGTTTTCGCCTTTGAAGTACACCTTATGCGATTGCTACGATGCACTGATTAGGCCGTAGGATATAATTCACACACTAAAATTAAAATACTAAAAACTGAAAATAATAGTGAAATAAAAAAATTATTTATTCGATGGTTTAACATATAATAGGAGCAAAAATTTTGCTCATTGCTCTTATTTTCTCAAGAAAAATTACTTTGCAACTAGCTAAAATAGGGTGCATTGTTTTCTCAGAGGGCACAGTGACGAATCCTGCAATCTGGTGGGTACTTAGCGCGGTCCGTATTTTCTTATCTCTATCCACTGGCACGGCAACACTTTCGTAAGTGGTAGAGTAATCCGTTACTTTGTTGCCATTCTCTATAAATAAATTTCGTTTTGCCGGCTGGACATTCTTTTCAAGGAAAGACGTGGGTCATGGCCTCAAGCTGGTAAATAACATATTAATGCTCTCTTTCCTCTCTCTCTCTCTCTCTCTCTCTCTCTCTCTCTCTCTCTCTCTCTCTCTCTCCCAAATCGCTTAAAATGCCAAAAAAAATAATAGTTTAAAAATTAATTTTTGGTAGAAAAATTGTGTCATTAAATGGATTGACTCGCGGCCTAGAAAATCGTTTGTGATTAATTTCAAGCCTCCACAAAAAATAACTCGGAAAGTTAAAACGCGAGATATTTGGTTATAATTGAATTAATCAATGGGACTTTCCCTAATTCAATAGCGTAGCCTTTACTTCCAAAGACATAGGCATGCTATAGATGCAAAGGTTATTTTTTTGGGTGGGTGGATTAATTGAAACATTTTAAGTGAAGTCTACATTTTTACGAAAGGAAAGAATATTAAGGCGAAAAAGAACGAAAATTTCGATTAAACTCACATACCGGTATTTTTGTGATCGATTGTGTGTGTTGTGCGAATAACTGTAACTAAAAAATAAACAGTATCGATGCCACGGTACCTGTCAGTACAAAATGTAGAATGCAGAATGCAGAGTGCAGACCGGATACAAAATATAGACTAGGTACAAAATGTAGACTGCAGACTGCAGACTGCAGACTGCAGAAGGACTGTTTTCGGTAGTGGTGACTGACGTTTCGACAACCTGAGCGGAAGTCCTCATCAGAGTCAAGTGAAAGGTTGTTGTTAGTCGAATGTACTTAGTCCGGTTTGTGTACACTGATTGCTCAGTTTTGCCGTGATGATATTGGCTGTAAGACTCAAGTGGCGCAGGTCAACCTGAGCGGAAGTCATCATCAGAGTCAAGTGAAAGGTTGTTGTCAGTCGAATGTACTTAGTCCGGTTTGTGTACACTGATTGCTCAGTTTTGCCGTGATGTTATTGGCTGTAAGACTCAAGTGGCGTAGGTCAGTGGTGATTGGTCGGTTCAGATCCGTTAGTGAAGTTAGGTTCGTTTGTAATGTTAATGTCGTGGATGAGTCGTTTGTATGGTGCCGGTAGTGGTTGACACCTGTTGAGGGGAGTCTGTTCCAAGTTAGTAAACCAGCTTTCCAGGGTCAGTCGTTGAAAGTAGTTGGTGCTGTAGGTTAGGCATTGCGCAGAGTCCTAGTCAATATTGTGGTTCGTAAGTCGGTGATCTTCAGCAATGTGATTGTTGACGTGGCCTTTCCTCGTCGCTCGTTTGTGTTCGGTCAGTCTAGTTGCGAGGTTTCTGCCAGTCTCACCGATGTAGGACGCGTGGCAGTCGGAGCAATTGATCTTATATACTGCTCCTTGTCTGTTCCTCGGTGGGAACAGACAGACCAAGGAACAGACAAGGAGTTGATTGCCACACAAGACTCAATCGCTACAATAGCAAAAGACAACAACTCCACGACAAACTGAATCGACTGATACCAACTGAATTACTTGACACTATTACGACTGTTGCCGACAAACGAGCCAACAAAGCGACTGAACGTGCCCATACTGGGCATCAACAGAAACTGACACGACTTCTACGCAACAAAGAACAGAGACGAAGAAAAACGGACGACAACTGGGTAAGAAACATCTCTTCCCGTCCCTTAGACAAGAATGAAACTCGCGTACTGTCATACGGACTGAAACACTCAGTTACTCCGAAACGGATACCGACCGAAGCTATTGTATCTAGTGTTGAGGCGGCTCTGTCTCGACAACGAGAGCTACCTGAGTCTACTAAGGATAACGTCAGAAGTAGAATTGCTTTCACTATACAATCAGCGTCACTACATGATAGCAACTTGACTAAAGACAAACAACATGCCCTTAAAGGACTGAGAAACGACAAGGAAATAGTTATTCTACCAGCCGACAAAGGACGAGTTACTGTCGTCATGGACAAGACTAACTATCACGACAAAATGGACGCACTTGTTAACGACAAACAGACTTACGAAGAACTCAAACGTGACCAGACTCCTGCGCTTCAACGCAAACTTAACAGCACATTACTGACACTCAAGAAGACAAACGCCATTGACACCCAACGCTACTACCGACTAAGGTGCTCAGTACCACAGCCACCGAAACTTTATGGTCTGCCGAAACTACACAAACCTGGTTTCCCAATGCGACCTATTGTTTCCTTCTGTGGTTCTCCGACATACCAACTGTCCAAGTACCTAACGACAATACTACAACCGCTCACCGACAAATCCAGACGAAAACTTCAATCCACCGAGGAATTCATTAACGCCACTAAGACTGTACAGATACCTGACGACTAAAAACTAGTGTCGTTTGATGTGAAATCGCTTTTTACAAGTATTCCCCTTCAAGTGGCACTACAATATACTGAGACTGCTATCCTACAATCTACAGACCCTCTACCGCTACCGACAGAGGACATTATGAACTTACTAAACCTTTGCCTGACATCAACTTACTTTCAGTACAACGGCAAAAACTACAAACAATTACACGGTACAGCTATGGGGTCTCCAGTTTCTGTTGTTGTAGCAGAAATTGTGATGCAGAACATCGAGGAAAGCGCCCTTTCGACTTGCCGACAGACGATACCACTCTGGTTACGCTACGTTGACGATACTTTCACTGCCGTACGACACGACAAAATCGACGCATTCCACCATCACCTTAACGAACAAAAAACTGACATACAGTTTACTAGAGAGGTCGAAGAAAATGGTAAACTACCTTTTCTAGACTTCTCGGTAAGCCGTGACGACAATTCACTACGGACATCAGTTTACAGGAAACCGACAGATTACTGGACGAGTCATCCTACAACACGACATCACACAAAGCCACTACTATCAGGACTCTTAAACGACAACGCAACTCCTACGACTACAGCCACTATACCATACATAAAGAGCATATCTGAGACCATCTCACGCATCCTACAACCATTCAATATCCGCGTCGCTCACAAACCTATTACCACACTACGTCAGTTACTGACTAACATCAAAGACAGAGACGAACCGAGGAACAGACAAGGAGCAGTATATAAGACTGCCGCGCCTCCTACATCGGTGAGACTGGCAGAAACCTCGAAACTAGACTGACAGAACACAAACGAGCGACGAGGAAAGGCGATGTCAACAATCACATTGCTGAAGATCACCGACTTACGAACCACGCTATTGACTGGGACTCTGCGCAATGCCTAACCTACAGCACCAACTACTTTCAACGACTGACCCTGGAAAGCTGGTTTACTAACTTGGAACAGACTCCCCTCAACAGGTGTCAAGCACTACCGGCACCATACAAACGACTCATCCACGACATTAACATTACAAACGAACCGAACAGAACGACCTAACTTCACTAACGGATCCGAACCGACCAATCACCACTGACCTACGCCACTTGAGTCTTACAGCCCATAACATCACTGCAAAACTGAGCAATCAGGGTACACTAACCGGACTAAGTACATTCGACTGAGAACAACCTTTCACTTGACTCTGATGATGACTTCCGCTCAGGTTGTCGAAACGTCAGTCACCACTACCGACAACAGTCCTTCTCGGGACTACACTTACCCGGACGATCAAACTACACTATTACAAAATATAGACTAGGTACAAAATGTAGACTGCAAAGTGGGTACAAAAAGCAGACTGAGAATTTAAAGTGTTTTTTCGTCTGTTATGAGATAACATGTCATCTTACAACTTACCGAGCGTCTCGCAATCGCTTTTCCACGATCAGCTTTCACGATTATTTGCACTGTCGTGGAATATTATTGGCACGTTTCTTGATCAAAATCGTTCTTAATATAATTTTAAGCCTTGATATAGTCTTCTCACTTTGCGCGCGAGTTGGTTGGTGTGATTTCTGTAGAGATTTTACCAACTTAATAAAAGTAGACGTAGATGTAAACCTTTCAGCCGGTCCATTGCTTAAACAACATTTCGGACTGTTCGGAATGTTTAATTCAGTCGTGGTGTAAAGGCAAAAGAAATTAACTTTCGGATTACTTCTTTATGAAATCTGGACAAGCTTTTTTGCCTCGAAAGTTTTCAAATAATAGCGAACGGCGTAAGCAAGCTTCTATCATTTGCTCTTCACTTAACTATAGGTTAATTGAACATTAATTGTTCTATAGGTTTAGAAGTCTGACGCGGTAATTTGATTTTGACAGTATTGTCATGTGAGGACCCGTCTAGGAAACTATGAACCGCTGAAGTGTGATGCAAACAAACTAGCGGGTCTCATGGATTTAGTTCTACTGTAAAAAGAGTGAGCTGCTTTCTTTGGACATGGTAATTTGGTCAAAATACAGGAAATGCTTTTTGTCTCCTCTGAAAATGTGACCACTTCCTAAATAAAATAAAGCAGAAACATATCGCATCCTTCAAGTTGTATATTATTTTGATAGTTTCTGTCATTTCGTTGTGGTCGTTTCAGTATGGTCGTTAGGTTCGTTTCGTTACATCGTTTCGTTTTGTCGTTTCGGTGGTTTCGCATGTTTAGTTTCGTTTTGTTCGTTTCGCTGTTTCGGGATTTAGTACATGTCAACTTGAAGGATGTAATGTCGTTTGGGTAAAATTTCCTATACGGCCGTCTACTGCACCCCGTTTACATGGGGAAACAATTGCATGTATAATTCCTATTGTAGCTTTATTCAGACGCATAAAAATGAAGGTAATATGCTTCTGCTTTATTTTACTGTAATGTGTTTCTTTTTATGTAAAATGTAACATTTAATTTCACCCCTAAACTGCATGCAAATAATTAAATTTATGTTTTAATTCATGTGTGAGAAGATAAAACTGAAGTGTCGCAGAATTTACTCTCCAGAAATTGAAGTCAGGTGAGCAGGTGTCAGTAATTTCGTATGATTCTCTCTCGAGTCTGCAATTTTTTATTGCTTTGGCCTCTGCGTGCCGGTCAACGATTAAAATCTCAGTCAAAAGATGGGTCATATTTTCGCATTTTTTAAATTCCATCTTTAAGTTTTTTGGCATTTATTGTTTGAAAATTCATAAATGACGTGGCTTTTTTAATCTTTTAAAGAGATATTACACATTTATTATTAAGAGGTTAATTTTATTTCAATAATTTTGAAACTTTATTCTACATAAGAACACTTGACTGGCTTAATGCTTGACATGCTTCACTCATACATGTCAGTTGTGTACATCTATTATTATAGAGGTGTATTTAAAAATTATGTTTGGTACAGCTATTGTACTCGGTGGAGTAGCCGACAAAGCTACCGAAAGCCCTGAACTTCAAATTTTGTGTACACGAAGCTTCCTCCTAAGTGGAAGAATAGCATATTGTTTACGAGGCAATTGCACTTACTGCAGTGATATATTCAAGCAATACTCTACATGTATAAAACTGAATACATAACATCTGTGATGACTGTGACATTTTATTTGCCCCTCACATTTCTTAGTAACACTATATTTAAGACTGTTAGGAAAGCAAACAAACAAACAAACAGAAGACAGTGAAAGAAGGGAAACTATAGACTTCACCATTCGGTAGAAAAAAGATCACAGAATATTTAAGAAGGGAGACTTGAGGGGAGGCTAATTTCATCCAATGCCTTTCGTGTTTTTGATCAAATTAAATTTAATCAGTTGTAGGGTTTGCCAACAATGTGGCAAATTGCCAGTGTGGTCTTCAAGACATCTGAGAATAAGCAGTGATTCTTCTCAGATGTCAGCTTGTAAAAGATAGATACTAAGGAAAGCTGGCCATAGGAAAAAGTACACACCATCAAAAAATCATAAGATTTGAGAGAATTGGTTATGTGATTGGGTTGTGATAATTAGACTAGTAGTGGCTGAGGTTGAGGAAAAAAGGGTTTTTTCTTGAATATTGACTTTGGGTATGTTGTTTTTCTGGGGTATGTTTGGGTGAAATTTATACATCTATGCATATTAATACATCTGTTTTCTAAAACGTTGCAGTTTTGAGAATATGCACAGTTTTTCTCTTCTTATAAAAGAGCTGATGCATGATGCATGTATATTTCACATCAAAAGAACACTACTTTTTCTTTAAAGTGGGAAAGTGAAACAAGGACTTGACAAGGACTTATTCTGCTGATCCTTTGTCCTTATAATTTATTCTGTCATCACTTTTTTATTGGAACAAAAAGTGCAATTATTTCTTAGAATTTTTTTTTCAATTGCAACATTTTGAAAATAGATGCATTTATGTACAGTCAAACCTGTATTGAGTGGTCATCCTCAGGAGATGGGGTTCCACAGAATAAGAGTAATATTAAAAACAATAAAAAATGCCATTTTATGTCATAATTGATCACTTTATGCACAAAAACTTGTTAAAAATATTATTAAAATTAAATTTGGGAGAGAAACATGGATTACATTTTACTCAAAAAATAATTTTTAGTTTTAATTGAGTGTTTCCTTTTTATGTGACCGTTCATTACAAGTGGAAGACAATACAAACAGGTTGTTGTCACGCAGTCAAAGGTGACCAAGACCACTTAATAGAGGTGACCACAAAAAGAAGTTAAATTTACAATGATTAAGGAGAAAAAAATTGGGGACTTTGGCAACTGACCAATAAATACAGGGTGGCAGCATTTTATGACATACTGAAATGAAGACTTACATTGCACAGTGACATAAGCTCTTACTGTCTTTTCCTGTCTCCCCCCATTGCCTGCGATGCAAACATATTCTCCTGCATCGTTCCTGTTACTGCTGGTGATGTTCAACTGTTTGGTGCGGGACAAATTAATCCCATATTTTTCCCATCTTATCTGAGGTTCAGGAAAACCCGAGGCATCACAACTCAAAAACAGAGGAGTTGACGTGTTAACTGTTATATTATGTGGCACTTCTGTAAAGTGGACAGGAACTAGGTAAGAAGAGAGAAACAACAAATTTTCACACCATAACATTAGAGTGTGATTTGGTTCAAAACCATCCACTTCCTACGCTATAGAAATAAGATTATAAAGTGTAGCACATACCTAAAAAAAATATAAAAAAGTGGAAACAAACTTTCACTAAGTCAGCTAATCGGAATTTGCATCAGTTTTAAAATACACTAATAACAAGAATAAGTTTACAGTTTTTGGCGGACACAGGATAATTGCTTTGGAATCATGGTTTGTCTTCTTTCTTTTTTTTTTTTACATAATGAGACCTAGGGTTAATCTCAAACTTGCACCTAAATTCCAGGTAATCTGCTACACAGTAAAAATAAAATGTAAAACCTTATATAGGCTCCCAAAAAAGCTGTACAAACTTACAGACTTCTTGTGTCTGACAACAGTCTAAGGTAACAAACCAAATTTTGCCTGGCGAGCACTGCCATGGAGTGTCATTTCCCCAAATCAGTGAACATTTCATCCCTATTATACTCTTGGGAATCATTATTTGGCTTGTTTCATTATCATTAGACATGTTCATCATTATTAGGCACCGGTTCATCATTATTAGGCACCTGTCCAACATTATTAGGCACAAGTCCATCGTTATCACACACCACTTCATTATCATCAAGCCTAAGTTTTACTATTAGGCACCCATTTGTTATTAGGTATTGGCTAAATTTTTTAGGTCATGCATCCTTCATCAGCACTTTTCTCAAGTACCTTATATTAGGGAGGAGCATTGTGTGGCAAGCTGAGTAATACTTGCAAGGGAGACACCTCTTCAGCTGGAGACACGTCAATCTCAATACCAGGGTCTCTATTCTTCCCTGTTAGGGGTTGTAATGATTCAAGGTGTGGAAAGTTTCATTACTGGTAAAAAACGTTTCTCCTGTTTTGGATTATAATTCCAAATTACTCAAAAATGCTCAAAGATATTTCTACCCACCATTTATGTCAAGTCTCACAGTGGCTTCTGCTCCATCTCCAGCGTCATTTTGTGGGACACATTTGTACTCGCCATAGTGCTGAGATCGATTGACCTTATTCAGAGTATACTCACTGTTGTTGTTCCGACCAAGGAGGCGGCCATTGAAATAGAACTTGTAAATTGACACTTCTGGCACAGCAGCCATAACTATGCACATGAATGTAACTGTGTCCCCTTCAGTGACGGTATTTTGTGAAGCATTGGTAATGAGCCTTGCACCTTCGGGTTTGTCTAAAAATGTAAATCAAATTAAATATTAACATCTGTTTATTTCATGGCTCATACATTCCCGCTGGTCATAAATCATAACCCCTTTGTAAAAGTCTAGAGGGTACATGATAATGCAACAAGGAAGGGTTAATCTTGTGTGTGGGTTAATCTAGTATCAATCAATCGAGTGCCTTGGTCAGAAAATATAACGCTTTTGTAATGGAAAATTGCAGCAAGTCATCCACCAATGGTAAGGATGCTGACTAAAAGCAAAATACTTTAACTCACATGTTGTATGCTGAAAAACAATGGCATTACTGCAGCAAGAAAAATAGCACCAACTGTAGTGTTACCAGGAGAGCTATCATAAATCCTCTGGTAACTAAACTAAGCAATTTGTGAAGGCCAACTCTACTTGTTATCAGACATAAAAACGTTGTCATTCATGCAGAATATCTGATGAAAATCCTTAATTTTGAGCCAGAGGATGAGTGCAACAGTGCCCTAGAGGCTGCATGTGGGAGGATCTCATCTCTCAAAACAGTGAAAACTCATTTTGAATCTAAGACATTCCTTATTCTGTTCAATTGATACCAGGATGATGTATTTGTCTAGGAACTTTCTGAGGAACAGAGCTTCCCTTCCCTTCCCTTATGTGGAGGCCATATTCCAGAAAGCTTAGGTCAAACTAAGGAATGAAACTGCGCGAAAAACTTCAAATCAATGCAAAATTCTTAACTTTAAATTTCAACACGACGGAAGAAAAGTGTGACTTTATTGACCAAGTGAAAACAGACGTGGGCAAACACGCATTTTCATAGCCGGTGTTCATTATGGGTGAACTCATTGAGACAAATTTTAAAAAGAGCAAGAACTATTTCTATGAGCTTAGGAACATCTTAAAGCTCAATAGCCACTCAAACAAATTCCATGGATCTCTATATGAGAAACAGCTCGTGCACGATTTTATCCAACTAAATTCAACGTGTCTCGCCATCCAGTCGATTTAACGTGTCTCGCCATCCAGTCGATTTTCCCTTTTTTTTTACGCTTTCCTGAATTTGTTGGACACTTTAGTCACACGTGCTTCTCAAATATTTGCTCGAATTCACCTTCCTTCTTTAATCCAAAATTTTATTTTGTTAAACGCATCGTAGATATAATCAAAACACGATGAGCACAGTTCACACAAGCGTTTGGAACCTTCTGTGCGGAGAGATTTTAATATCTTGTTTCGTGTTCATTACATGACATGAAGATCGAGCATGTCGCGCAGAGAATTGTTTTGTCTTTCCCAAGCTTTTCATGGCAAACTTTCGTTCACTAATGAAAATTCGAAGAAATATTGCTCTTTGTTTCGGCGAAATTACGGGTGGTGCAAGTGAGAATCTTCCCGAGTTCGATGAAATTTCATGCGAACAATTGACGAAAGTCAGTGACTTTCGTTTCCATTACTTTTGCACAACACTGTGCTTGTACTTGCATCAAAAATAGTATAAGTTATATCCAACGATGAAGTGTCAACAAGCAGATTACTGTCTTGGCAAACAGTTTCACCGATCTCTAAAACTGGTTGCATACTGTTATAAATTCCAAGTATTTATAACAATATGTTTTATCAATAGATATTTCTCTGCAATAATCAAGAGGCGGTAAGGGAAATTACCGTTTAAACTTAATTTCACTTTTGAAGAAGCAGATATTGAATATGGTATGTTAAAAAGATTGTCACAGAACGCCGGAAAAAGTAGATTTGTACTTGCACAAGTGAAACCCTAGTGCCAAAATGTGATCGGAGAGAGCAACAAACCCTAATACTCCAATCTCGTTGGCTTAGGCAATATGCCCTTTCTGGACATTTACTTCGTTTTTGTTTGTTTTCTTGCTCAGTTGTCATTTTTTTTTATCTGATGAGAACTGATAGCTTTCCAAATTATAAATAGACCATGAATTCATAAAATCGGCTGAAAGCCACTAAAATTAAATAATAAAATGATGAAGGGGTAAGATGTAGACCCCACTAAACTGGCTTTGTACTGTACTTTCAGTTGCAACGGGTCATGTTTTATATGTGTGGTACACTCCAAGAAAGCTTGTACGGTGTAATTTCCTTAATGACGAGTGACTTCAAAATCTAGAGATTAGCATACTGTTCATGCTTGCTTTTTACCGGCTTCCGACAAAAGAGGTCGAATGACTGAGCATATGCAAACACTGAGACAATTAAGTACCTCTCAAACCAGAAAGTTATGGAAATCAATCACCGCTCCGTAGCATTTGTTTTTCCTTTCATGTCTTTAAATGAAAAAAAAAAGCGAGTCCATCTATTTTGTGTTATTTGGCAGTTGAGTTTTCAGTGTAAGGTGGCAAGGCTTACGAATAATGAAATATGTAGTGGATTCTAACCGTCAAATAATAGATCTCTTCGAACGCCACACATACAAATATGTGCGGAAATCTTGGGCATGTGGTTTTAGTTTCAGCCCATTTTGACATATATCAGCTGATCTTAGCTATATAAAAAAAAATGTAATTTATCAGTGGACAATCAGAATTTTTACCAATTCTCAGCTTTCCATTAAGCCCCAACCAGAGCCCTCACACAGAATCAGAATATGCTCTAGCCTTGTGTCCTAGTCAAACGGAGTGAATTTTGGGTTGTCACAATTACTCGGAAATGGCTTTGAGCCATTTTTTGAGTTACGTGTAAACCCAGTTCAACTGAAGCAATGACTCGCTTAGAAAAATTGTCATCCAAAGCAAAATAATGTGAGCAATGATTCCACCTAGATTCAATTGTCCTAACCAATAGTTGGGACCAGCGGAAAAGAATTTGAGGTGAAATTCTGTTTCCATTACACTTTTGACCAGATTCGTCAGTTTTTTGTAACTGACCCCAATAACAGGATTCACATTGTAAATAATTAAAAGTAAATTCAGAAATAGAAAATTAAGGTTACAACATACTTACAGTGGACTACAATTGTTGTGTTAATGGAAGTGACTTCCACTGAGTTATTGGCTCGACATGTATATTGTCCTGCATCCGTTCTGTTTATATTATCGAACTTTAAGAAGGCAGATTTCTTTCCTGAACTTTCCAGTACTCCATTTCTAATCCATGCTACATCCGGCGGTGGTTTCCCCGAAGCTTCACAGGCCATGGTGACAGAGGATCCTTCAGTGTAATATTTTCCTCCTAAAGAGAGGTTTATAAGCGGTGCCTCTGAAAGGTAAAAGAGATTATATCATTCCTCATGGCGTAGCAAATATTACTTGGCCTGAGTCTTAAAGTTTTACTCAATTTCAATAAAGTAAACAAAAGCATCCAGCAATTGATCCCCAAACTTCACCCAGTACAAGTTAACCTATTGGCGCTTGCTACTGAAGAACTTGCTCACAAGCTAAATTGTAAAGCAGAGCCCCAGCCTCGGGAATTAAAGGCTAATTTAGGAAGTCACTCATTGGGCTAAGTACACTGGCCTCTGGGCCATTCCCATTTTTTTAAATAATTTTTTTTTCTGTTGCATAAGCAAGTTGGAATAGAGCCAATCAAGCCACACTTCACTTGGACTTTAGCCTGACAAAGAATCTACAGAAGACATCCTCAACCCAGAGAACTGAAATTTTGATGAAAGAGAAACTACGGATTCTTCCAGATAAAAAGAATATCCAGGTGGCATGTTGAATGCTGCTTGCCCAATACTTAAAGTAATCATCTTCTTGTACTGATTGTTCTTTTATCAAACATTAAATAACTCGATCGTTCAGTATGATTGTTCTGCAAAGGGAGTTTGCAGAGGGGAGAGTTTCGAAATTTTCCTCAGCATTTTGAAGAATTATACGCAGAAATAAGATGTTCTTAACCCAAGTCAAACGCAAAGAAAACAAATTATCCCCCTGCATTAAGAATGGACTATATGGACACCACTGTTAACAATTTGAGCTAAAACTAAAGATTATTAAACGTTTTGCTCCTTCCCAGCAGAGAGGTAATATCATTAAGCAAATGAAACACATCCTCAATCTGTCGTTGGCATTATATTTACAATGGAGCAGCGTCATTCCATCAGAGTTCTACGAACATATGTTATATCCCTAAAGAGGAGAGTTACATTTCAATACAATCTTGAATTAGTGTCTCCAAAACTTATTGCGAGCTGATTTGAGTTGGTCCTTAAAACTTAAGTGAAACCAGTCAGGGCCATATCCAACATGAGGCAAACAGAGGCACTTTCTAGCAAACAAACAAACAAAAAATTTAATTTTCACACAACATGGTCCAGTCTTGGTCTTGGTGAAAATGCAAAACAAACAGTGCCTAAATATTGGATGGGAAATACTTAAGAGCAAAAAGCGGCTTAAATTCACGCTAAGCAGTTCCTAGTAATAATTGACACAAGATTTGAGCTTGTTTGACATTAGCAAAGAAACTGTCTACCAGACCATCAAGAGATGCTGATGTTTATTAAGAAACTAAAGAAGATGATGGGAAAGAAGCTGTAGAGGAAACACTAAAAATACTACGTGATTCACCTCGAACTGGAAGTAATATTCTCGCAGCTATGGTTAAAGCACATTCAAAATGTCACTTAAAGTAGAAGTCAAAGCCTTAACAAGAAAAATTGATCAACTATTATACTAGGAAACTAGGAGACCAGAAGAAGGCCATTGTCCTTCTAATGGTGCTAAAATGTGCCGCGTATCAAAAGGAACAAAATAATTCTTAACTTTGTACAATTTGCAGAAACCGTGGAAGCATTAGCCTCATCAATGTCATCAGCAGTATCAATAGCGGAAACCTCTAGATGTATGCAAAATTTAAATGCTCCACCTGGCTAAACGATACCAACATGGAAGACCCTATGCCACATGGAAAAGGCATTTAACCACTTGATGGTGAAATATAGTCAGGATAAAAATGAAATTTTTTCGAAACCCAATGCCAAAAGGAAAATAATAAACACACTAAGTCTAAAGCTGAAAAAACTATTGCCAGTGTATGGTACATCTTGGATATGGGGCGAGCAGACAGGAAAAAACTAGCGAATGAAGAGCTATCAAAACTGGTCAAAAGAGGCCTTTAGGTTCTCTTTGATGAGCAAAAAGCCTCCACTATCACAAATTCAATATTTGCAAATTTTCCTTTTTCCATATTTGCTTTTAATTTTTGAAATAAAATGTTAGACATTACTTTGCAGGTATATCAACACTAGCAAATGATATATATCAGGGAGTGGCTTTAACCAGATGTCACAAGCTTCACTTAATTCAGAAGG